CTTTTGAAAAATATTCTGTTTATGATTTTATAGCGAAAGTGAAACAAATCTAAACTGAATTCTTATTTTTTTTTAATATATTTTAGCTTGACAACTGGTCATTTCTACAAACATTTAATTATTCATTATACCCAATAACTTTTCCAAGTGAGAATGCAGCGGAGTGGAAAAAGCTCTTTAAACCATGTGCTTCTCAGAGATTGTTCTTGCCAGTAAGTTTTTTCCCCCATATTTTTTGTTTTTTGGTTTGAATCGTGCTTTTATACATGAGTTAATGAAGAGTTACATATAAATCGGTTAAGTAAACATACACGTATGATTTTTCCCTTTGAACATGAGAAGGAAAAAAAGTTCCCGTGGAACAAATAAAAGCTCCAATAAAAACCTCTGTTAAAAATGAAAAAGTTAAGTAATTTCTGTTGAAATGCTATTTCTTACAGTTTAATTTATTCAGTTGCTATAAACTGTTTTATCTCTAAGAAGGAGTGAGAGATCATCAGATCTTAATGGAGTCAAGTCTTTGCCAGGAGAAATGCAGTGGCAGGGTCACCTTCAAGTTGTAGACTGCATTTATAATGCGAGAAAAGAAGTAGAATGCATCATTAAAGGACCATTTCTGTCTTAACAGCAAGCCAGTTTACGTTTCCTAGGTTCTACCTTAACCCAGACACAAAATTTGAGGCATGTGAACTCAAACGGAAATGGGAACCATTTATTCAGTGGGGCTGTTCCTTGGTGGTGGTCTCCGGTGATAAACCCTGATTATTTTTTTTTCATTCTAAAAATACTCAGAAGCAAGGTTACTTCTTCCATCTTGAATTGAATTCACCCACAGTTTTAAAATTCTCAGTAGTTGTTAGAACCACTGTAATGTTTAAAGTAGTTATGGTAGTCAAAATCCTGAATTTAAGAAGCTTACAAGTTTCTGGAAAGTAGAGAATTATGGGGAAGAAACTTAAGTTACTTGTTATTATTAAGTGGATTAAGGCAATTAATTCTTACTATATTAAGAATAGAGTTTATCAAATGCAAGATGTCAGTAAGATTTAAAGTTAAGTTACATTTTGATAGCTGAGTCTGCCAGACGAGTATCTGTTTCTGTGCATGAAAAAAATCTGGATCCTAACATGTCTTTTTCGTTATCTGCTTCCACTGTAAGAAGCACACAAATAAGGGCTTAAGATAGGGGAAAAGCCCAAGGAGTTTTAGGTGCTTAATGCAGCTTCTAAATTGTAAAAATTAAAAAAAATTTTATATTGAATCATTGCGGTGTTACATCATTTAATTATAGTTTGAGTGCCAGGTACCTGTTCTGAGGTGCTGGGTGTATAGGAGCAAATGAAACCGATTTCTTATTCTCATAGCACTTACTGTCTGTATGGGAGACTGACATTAAACAAACACACTGTGACATTAAATGAACACAGACATGTCACTGAAGAGCAAGGAGTGAGAAAAGGCACGTGAGGGTACAGTCATGGCTCTTCTGTTTTGTTCTGCATTATTGACAAGTGTAATTGATGTTGTGATGTGAAATTTGCCACATCATTTGATACTATAATCTGGGAAATTCCTAAATGGAATTTGAAATTCTAAAATTAAATCCTTGAAACCTGTCAAATTGTCCTCATGCTTCACCCTTAACTTCTGCATCTTTTTAACCAGATTTAAATAAACTGATTTTTTTCTAAGTAGAAAACTTTTATTTTTAACTAAGTTTCTCCTCCTTTAAAATAGCTGGATTAAAAGAACTAATGTGAGCTCTACCAACTCCTTCCCCCGAAAGGAAGCACAGAAAATACCGATGTGGGTATTATGTAACCTTATGTGTGGTCTCCAGCTGGCAGTGGCTCTCAGCAGTGGCCTTGGATCCTTTCATAGTGTCTTCCTAGACTGCTAACAATACAGTAGTCTGTAAACACACACTTGTCTCAGGGTACAGAAGCAAAATGTTGATATAAAAACAATTCCCCTCACTCTTCTGCCCCCTAAAAAGAGAGAGAGGGACAGACCTACAGACCTAATTGCAGTCTTTGAGCAAGTAAACCTTCCCTACTCAGGCTCTGTAGTCAGCTGTCAGGATTTCCCCCCAGCCTGTTACTAATATTAAATCAGTGAGGGGGATTGGAATGATTTCAGCCTCGTAACTGCTCATTAAGGTGATGGCTTAACCCTGGCTGCAGGAGGAGGTAGCAGCTTTGAAAAGGAGCAGAATGAAGATCAAGCTCTTACTCTCATTATGTTCTTAACTAAAAAGCTTGAGGTTAAGCTAATCATTTGAGTTTTCCTAATGTACTGGGATAGACAATAAATTTAAATTTGCAGGAGTCAGATTCTAAAGTTTGTGGGTAAAGCAGAAATAAAAACTAACCCTTGGAAATCCCTGTAGAAGACATGCTGGAGATTTAGCATCTCTCAGAAAGTAACATAGCCAGCCTTCCCTCAGAGACGAGTCTTGTCTTCACTCTTGCTCTGCCAGTGCACATTTTCTCTGATTCGCTGGGAGACAGTAAGCTCACAGTTAAGAGCATGGATCTGGAACCAGGTGGTCTGGATTCCCATTTTGGCCCTACCGTTTACTGGCTGAGGCCAGAATGAGGTAAAGGTGCGCCATTAGTGTTCTAGGCAGAGGGAACAAATTTAGAAGGTCTTCATTTGTATTGGTTAATTTCTGTATTTATCTCAGGAAATTAAGCTTTGATATGTAAATTCATCTAAGTTAACATTATCTTCCATTATGAAAAACATTTCCTCTCTAATCTTTGAGGATATTACTTTTATTTTTTTCTTCTAATTGTTAGTATTGAGTTTTTGTTCTTGTTTTCATAGCTTATCTTCTCTAAAAGTTAATATAAAGATTAGCTGAGTATCTTTATATACGCTCTTGTAAAAAAATAACAATTTAGGAAAAATTACTTTTAAAAATTAATGTAAATTAGCTTATCTATTAGATATTTTTAAGTAATTAAAGACTCTTCTATGTTTTATATTAAATAAGTAGAATTATAGTTAATGATTCAACTGTCTCTTCCCATAGTTAATCCTGAAGGACGTTGACTCACTGTTGTACGTCGACACCGATATCCTTTTTTTACGGCCCATTGATGATATCTGGTCTTTACTAAAGAAATTTAATTCCACACAAATTGCTGCCATGGCACCGGAACACGAAGAGCCTCGGATAGGATGGTATAATCGCTTTGCCAGGCATCCGTACTATGGAAAAACTGGCGTGAACTCTGGAGTTATGTTGATGAACATGACCAGAATGAGAAGGAAGTATTTCAAGGTAAGTCACTGATACAGGTAGTTGGTTAACCTGTCTCTGTTTTCCTTCCAAACTGTTGGGTTTCCAATTTAATTTTGCTTTACTGAAAACCAGATTGAACTATTCAGAATTTGTCCACTTAACCTGGAAGAGTTGAAGAAAAGTGTGTCCTCCGTGTTATTAGAGCATTATAGTAGGTCAGAGCGGATGGCATTACATCACGGTGAGGTGACGATGCAGTGAGTGGGCACCGTCTTCCTAGATTGTTATTCAGGCAGGCGTTGTCATTCTGTAGACGTGCAGCCACACAGTATTGAAGCTAAAGTGTGATACATCTCGGGGAACACAGATTGCAGTTAAGAGCTTAAGACTCTGGATCCTGTTGGCCTGTTTCAAACTCTGAGACCTCGGGTAAGCTTTGAACATCTCTGTTTTGATTTCCTCATCTGTGAAACAGGGTGGTCGATAACAGTACCTATGTCATAGGGCTTTCTGAGGATTCAATTAATTAGACCAGAGACTAACATGTAGTAAATGGTGGCTATTTTGGTGCTTTTGGAAGTTAACTTAAAAAAAAAAAAAACCCTGAGTATTTCTTGCCTCTCCAGTTGTGGGGTCAGTGGAAGAGTCAAACAATATTTGAGTCTCTCTGCATTTTGAACATATAGGTATGTTGTACTGTTTAGCAATTTCATGCCGATGAGTCTTAAGTCGTTGTAGTCTCGGGGCACAGGAGTCAAACTGTTTGGTCTTATGTTTAGCTTTGCCACCTGTTCACCAGTACCATAGCCAGCTGGTTAACCTTCAAATGCCAGTTCTCTCAACTGGAAAATAGTGGTAACAAATGGACTTCTGTAGGCTGGTATTTAAAAGAGACCCATTTAAAATGCTTAGTAAAAACATGACACAGTAAGCATTAGCACTTCAGTGTTAGCTGAAAACAGTGGCTTCTGAAACACTTACATAGACAATTTATCCCGTTGCATCTGGTTAGTACTAAGTTAAACATTGATGGATATTATGTCTTTTATGATATGAAAAATATATATACACATGTTTGTGCTGTGTGTATATTGGTCTCATGTTTTTCTTACGGCCTCTGGTGAACTAGAATTTACACCACTGTTTATTACTCCTTTCTGCAGGCCTGATTTAAACCTGTGCCTCACCTGGGGTTGTCCCCTCTCAACCCTTGATTCAGGCAGCAGTCCTCCTTGTAGCCATCGCTGCCCATGTCTCGACATTTCGGTCTTAAGACAGTTAGTACCCATCACTGCTGTCTTCTGTAGATCTAATCAACCTAGGTGTTTTTCGTTTTTTTTTTTTAGCTTTCCTATTTTCTGTACCTTTCTGAAATCTTGATTTCATTTCAGCTTTGTCTCCTGCAAATGAATGCATTAACGAGTCTAGTGTAACCTGTGCTGTTGCTTAATAGTAAACGTCTTTCTTCAAGTACCCAATTTATTAATGCATTTTGAGTTTTAAAATTTTCGTGTACCATAAAGTTTTACCAAATAAAACAGGTGTAATGCCATGAGTTCTCTTCTTTTTCTGATGGCTAGACTATGCACAGTAATATTATACCAGAAGATGGTGCTGTAAGATTATGTGCTAAGGAACAACGTCACTGCTTGGTAACTCTTCATTTGAAATTCATAGAATTAGAATTTTAGTGTTGCAGAGAACCTTAGAGATAATTTAACGTGACACCATTATTTGATTTTTAAAAAATTTCAAAGTACAGCTGTACAGTTCAAATCTATGATCATTTTAAATTGACTTTTTGTTATTTAAATATTATTCTTAAATACTTCGAACAGTTTCTCCCCTTTCCCTTTTTTTTTTTTTTGTTTGTTTGTGGCGTGCTCTAAACCAGCTGGAGGTGTAGATATGGGAGTTGAAACAATTTCTAACCTTTCACACTTTTTTTCTGTGCCTTAATGACTTAATAAAGAAAACTGTGAGAGTATGTTTGTACGTTAATTTAGTAGGTACAGTTTACTTCTTACCTATCATCCCTGTTTCTGACAAATCCATTCTTGCCCAGTGGGGACAACACAGATTTGGTTTGTTTTTGAGTATTGTATTTATGATTGCTGAAATGTTACTATGAAATTGATTGATTTTTAGTTCCTTTTTTCGTGTATCTTTATTTTTCCTAATTGTTTTCCAAATGTGTCTGTAGCAAACATTGCCTTGTTTTTTCCTGTGAACTCTGTAATTGCTTCTGGCACAGATGTAAAATTTTAGAGCTCTGGTGGTACGACTCAGTTACTGGTAATAACTGTTCAGACTGTTTCGTGCAGACCCCTGAATGTCACCCCATGCTTCTTACTGTGTGAAAAGCTATGAGACTGCCCACTTAGGACAGTGGCCATGTGTTAAATTCTCAATTTGCTTTGCCGTTGCCCAGCCCCTACCGTTCATGATTATTCATTTCCAACCTGATGTGATACAATTATATATTTAAAAAATTAAAACAGTAAAAATTTCACTTTTTTGCTCCTTGCTTCTCATAATACTTGATAGACTTGGATATCACACTGGCCTTAGCCGGTGTTAGATAAAAGCGAAGACCCTACTTTGTATTTTATAATTGTATATATAGTGTTGAATCCCTGTTAGGATATTTCTTAACCTTTTTCTGTTTATTAGAGAAAAACCAGAGAATATAAATAAGGCACCTTGAGAATCCTTTTCTCATATGTTTACTGTACCCAGATAATGTCCTGCCGTTTATTACTTTGTAAAGTAATTTTTGCCTGTTTCCTCCATCTGCTGAGTGCAGGTTATGTCTTCTGCACAACTTTGTATTCAGAATATTTAGCGTGGAGTCTGGCATAAAGTATCAGCTCAGTAGATGATTACTGACAGAGGACAGGAGGAGGTTTCAAAAACCAGGCCATTAATGAATTATTGAAAAATATTAGAGAAGAACGTACTTATTTAAGTGAGGTGGCCATGATGGTTGTTTTTACGTATTTGAAAGATGTACGTGATAGAGGACTTTTATTGTGTTACATAAATAGCTTAAGAAAATGACACCAGTGAGCATCTTACCAAAAGGGACAGAACTTCTCAGAGGTCAGTGGAGTAACTAATCTTTGGTAATCGGCGAGTTCCTGGTTTCTAGCATTGCTGGAGCAAACCACGATTAGCCACCTGTCAGTTTATATTTATGTATAACAGACTGATGATGGTGATGTCTGTTTTCAAAGGCATACATAATTCTAAAAACGAAACTAATTTCTCTTAACATAATTCATGTGCATTTTGGTAAGTTTGCTGAAGTAGGTAGATTAGAACTGAATCTTTTTTTTTTAAACTATACCATGCTTATGAAAATTCAAACAGTTCACTGCATTCAGAGTAAAAAGACAAGTCCCCCTGTGCACACCACTCTCCCCAATTTCATTCCTTTGCCCAAGTGACACTATAAAGTGTGCTGTGTATTTTTCAGACCCTTTAAAAAGTGTATTTTGAAGCAGGTGTACATGTACGTTAGCACTTGCTTGTAGGATCCTTTTCTGTGTCTTCAGTTTGCTTTTCTCACTGAGTAAATACATAATTGACTGATTTTTTTATGTCAGTACACATAGTCTGTCACATTTAGTGTGTGTGTGTGATGTTGTGCAGTATCGATGATGTGGTTTTAATGTCTGTCTGGACTAGTATGAATATGTTGTTATATGGCTGAAAAAAATCTCATGTATTTTAATTTGTACTTTCCTGATTACACCACCAGTGTGGGTAGAAATCTCATGCAATTTTTAGCCGTATCTGTTTCCTCCTTTGTGAATAGCTGTTTGTCCATGCCCTTTTTCCATTTCTGTACTTTGTTTTTTTCTGTTTCTGTTGGCTTGAACTCTTTTTATATACAGTGCTTCTTCATTAAACTCACTTCTCATAGTTTTTAATGGGTTGTCTTGGATATTCTAGGTTATATCATCAGCACATAGTACTAATGTTACTGCTTCTTGTCCAGTATCTTTCCAGTAGGACTTTTCCTGGAAGTTATAAAGAATATTTTGCCCCCTTCAGTGTTTTTCTAAGACTGCCCTGCCCTGGGCCTTGTAATTTTATCTTTCTTTTCTTTGAATAGATGTATTTCTTTGAATAGGTGTATTTCTCTTTATATATATATATTTTTTTCTTTCTTTTCTTTTCTTTTCTTGAATAAATAGAATGCAGTGAAGACTTGAACATAATCTGGTACAGGGGGTCCACCAGTCCTGTCTGTTGAATGTGTTGCTGGTCTTTGCCCTTGTACAATTCCTGTTTTCCTTTTCAGAGCCTAAGAACATTTGCTTAACATGCTCAGTGACTTATTTCAGAGTCATCCTTTCAATAAAGTATTTTCTTATTATTTCCTTAAATAAAACTTGTTTTCAGTCATTTTCTAAACTCATCAGATTTTTGGAGAGAGGGATTTCTGGTTGTGTTATAGTTACTATGTTTACTGCATTCTGAGAGAAACTTCACACAATTATAGCAGATCATACTTAGTTTAAATACTTAGGGTTTTTTTTTTCCCCCAGGAATCCTGACTTTCCTTACTCAAAGGATAGGTTGTTTATGTGTCCACTGAGTTTTTTATAAATCCTAGAGTAGCTTGTAACAATGTTTTTCAAAACTATTTGTGGAGAAGGATCAGTGCTTTTTTAAAATGCACTGTCATGAGCCAATGCTTTTGTAAAAATAATGTAAATAAGTTACTAGGAAAATATTACATTAAATAGATATAAAGTTATTCTGTTAAGTTGCTATAAAAGTTTCTAAATCTCACTGTTAATTTCTGTACTTAAATCTTATAGAGAACATAAATTCTCTGATTATCACACTGCAAACACTGGTTAAGTCTGGAGAATTTCAAAGAGTCAAACTGGTACAGAAGCTTAGTATTAAACTCCACCCCTTCTTACCCCGGATTCCCTGACCCCCAGCCCTCTTTCTGCTCTGTTGTTTCCTTAGGTGCTTGACTGGGTTTTAAAATAATGAGCTATGAGTAATTTCACAGAGGCTGAAAAGGCCTCTGAGGAAATTCACTATCTATTTTTGATTTATCAATTTCAAGTGATCTCTTTGAAATGCCAATAGTGAAAGATTAGCGAATCAGTCTAGGAATAACAGCGATTATGCTGCTACGATAGTTAACACCGAGTCTGCACCGCATGCCAGGTACTGTTCCGAGTACTTTTTGTTTATATACTGACAGGTTTACTCCTCTGCAGCCATCTGACATAGATATGGGAGTATGTGTACACTTAGGACATGGACGTGGGAATATGTGTAGTCATAGGACATAGGTACTAAAGCGACCTGCTTTTTAAGATGAGTCACGGTTGTAGCACTTCAACTGCCGCCCTTCTCTTTCCCTTTCTTCCCCAGCTCCTGTGAGTTTGATCACTTACATGCGCAGCTTCAGATACTTTCTTCTGTTGTCTCCTCCTCTCCAGCTGGACAGCCTTACTCACATTTAGGTTTACGTTAGGGTCGCGTGGTGTTGTAACAAAGGAAGTTTGTTTCCCCTTGTTGCTCTGTAACGATTGGAAGGGCAGGATAGGGAACCATCCTTATGGTGCCATTTTAAACCTGGAAGCCTGAGAGTCTCTTTCTTGTATTTTCCTACAGAATGACATGACTGCTGTACGACTGAGATGGGGGGATATACTCATGCCATTGCTTAAAAAATACAAGCTAAACATCACATGGGGTGATCAAGATCTGCTGAACATCGTATTTTTTCATAATCCAGGTAATCATTTAAATTTCTGTTATTCTTTGCATTTGTAAAAAAAATAGATAATATTTAGTCAGAAGTGAAGAAATGCATTTATCTGATTTTGGTTTATATTAACGTTATCATTCTTTATGTTTAAGACAGAGTAAAACTTTTCTTGAATATTGATTTAATAGGAAGAGATCTAAGTGCCAAACGTATTTTCTACTGTTTTAAATCTTATCTTGTAAGAGCTGTATATTTAAACCAAAAATTTTGCAAAATGTTAATTCTGTGGAGTTATAGGGTGTGTTTGCTTCTTTTTGTGTTCACACAGAAAGCCTGTTTGTTTTTCCGTGTCAATGGAATTATCGACCAGATCACTGCATATACGGAAGCAATTGCCGAGAAGCCGAAGAGGAGGGGATCTTTATTCTTCACGGGAACCGAGGTGTTTACCACGACGATAAGCAGCCGGCTTTTAGGGCTGTTTATGAAGCACTGAGAAATGTAAGCCTTTTTTTTTTCTTTTTTTAATGTCTTTGGAAATGCTCCCAAGCTTGCAGAGAAGCTGCGCATCCTTCACTCTGCCTCACCAGTTGTCGGCCCCAGCACGCGCACGCATGGCTTTGGCACTCTGCTGCGAGGACGAGTGCTCCTTTCTGCCCACTTGGTGATCTGCGCATGATCAGTGTGAGCTCAGTGATACGTATTTCTTCCGAAGATTTATGGTGCAATATTCACTTTTCCGTATATTGATGCTAAAGTTGTGGCAGATTCGGCGACTGAAAGCCCCTGTTGGCTCCCTCTTGTGCTTGGTTGCCATGTTCCCATGGTTATTTTGAGTGCCTCCTCATCCTCTGTCCAACAGAAATATTCCAGGCGCATCTCGTTGTGCCTTCCTTGCCCTGGCCCTAGAATGAGCTGTTTGTCAAAGGATCTCTGGTTCCTTTCCCGGGGCCCTGGGTGCTGGGCGTGCTTATTGCTACAAAAGTGTCTTCCCTTCTAAGCTCTTTCAGAGACAGACCTAGGAAATACAAATGTGCACAAACACACACACAGTTGTGCTCACACCGATGGTCCAGCTCATCCCCCACCCCCAGCCCCTTCCTTGCCTTCTCCTACCTTGTTCCTATGTTTTGTGTCCTTTCTTCCACAATTGGACTCATGGCTCCTAACATAGAATCTTTCCTCTTTCGCTTAATCCTACAATGCACCGAAAATAATGTAAAAAATGCTCTGTTTATACCGCCATCTCTACTCTCCTGTTTGTGCAAAATCAACCTGCTGTAAAACGTTCAGGGTTTGTGTCCAGCCCTCCCCCCGCCCCCAGACGGGGGTGTGTGCTCAGTACTGTGGGCAGAGGTTACTAGGATGAGTTCTTTTCTCCTCCTTTCAGTGTGGTTTTTTACTCACTTGAAATACAGTTGAGTTCTTTGTTTTCGTATGCTTTCAGTTTTAAGTTTGTTTCCCCTTATCCTTGTTGGTTTAACTTCCAGTTGGCACGTGGATCATATACGTCAACAAGTCAAAACAATGTAAGGGTTTACCTAGAAGTAACATTCCTTCCCCACCCCTCCACCCCAATCCCCCACCCCGCTGGTTACCAGCTTCATTTTCTGGTTTAACCTTCCTGTACAGATGAACAGATACATGTATGATTTGTAATTCCCCTTTTCTTACACGAAAGGTAGCATACTGTTGACCTTTGTTTGCACTTCGCTTTTTTTTTTAAACAATATTCTGAAACTTTGGGCATTTATAAATATCTTCCTCATGCTTTTTCTTTTTTTAAACAGCTGAATGATACTCCATTTTGTGCATATATTAGAGTTTATTCAACTAATCTCTTATATTTGAACATTCTGGTGTTTTCCAACATTTTAAATAGTGAATAGTGCAATAGTACATAACTGGTATATGTATATTTGTATTTTTGGGAGATGTATCTTCAGGGTAAATTCCTAGAAGTGGGAAAACTAGGTTGAAGATACTGGCTGTTTCCTTACGTGGGGATTATTTGCATTCCTGCCGACAATTCATGGCCCGTTACACGCACAGCCTCATCAACAGTGTGTTATCAAGCTTAAAAATTTCACCTCTCTGATGAGTGAGAAATGGAATCTTAGTTGTACTTTGCATTGTCTTATGAATGAGATGAGCATCTTGTTATATATTTAGCAGCTTTTTAAACCTCTTTTTGGGGGTAAGTTTTTTTTCACCTAGTCTTCTGTAGGTGTTAAAAAAATAACTTTGTTGATACATATCTCACACACCACACAGCTCACTGATGTAAGCACTTCAGTGGTTTCTGACGTATTTACAGAGTTGCACAGCCATCAGCACGAGGCAGTTTCAGTCTTTACTCCCTGCCTCCCTGCCATTTGTTACAAGTTACTGTGTATTAAAGATATTAGTCCTATTTCTGTGAAATCTGTTGTAAATATTTTCTCCCAGTTTGACTTTGTTTATGGCTTTTTTGCCATTCAGAGTTATTTGTCTTCTAAGAAGTTTTGTATTATCAAGTTTAAACCTTTTTTTTTTAAAGTCATAATTAGAAAGTCTTTTCTACCTATACTCAGGTTACACGAAAATTCACCTATATACTGTTTCATTTCTTACATTTAGTCCTCTGCTCAGTTTGGAATTTACTCTTTTCCGTGAGGAATAGATCTAATCTGATCTTTTTCCAAATGGCTATCTTGTCCCAGCATCATTTATTTATAAGCTTATCTGTAACCCAAAGATCTGAGACCCTGACTTTATCATGCTCAAAAATTCCGTGTGTAATTTCCGGATTTTCTGTTCTGTTCCGTTTGTCTGTCTGTCCGTGCGCTAATACGCACTATTTTAACTGTAAAGGCTTTGTGCTGTGCTTTGATGTCTGATAGGGCGACTTCCTCTTCACAGCCTGTCCTTTCCGAGTTTTCCTACCTATTGTATGTTTATTTTTCCACAAATATCAACCCATTTAACTACATTTAAACCTTGTTTCATTGGGAGTGTATCATCTTCACATAGTAACGCAGTGACTGCTGATGTTTTGATGAAGTTGAGACATCGTAAGAACAAGGGCTGTCTTTCCATTCCTGTCTTTCAGGGATATTTTAATAATTTTCTTCACACTATGAATTTTGAACATGTCTTAATAATTAATAAACTTAATACTTAACTATAATACTTAAGTACTTTATCTTCTTTTTTGCCTTCGTAGGTGGGGTTTTTCTCTTTTAAGCATTTACTTTATATTGAGTTTGGGAAAAAATTATCCTGTACTCCTCCCCTCCCCCAGATATCTGTTCGTCTCTCTTTTTTTCCTTTATTCTTACAGTCTCTTGTTGTGTAATTCAGGTGAATTGACAGGGGAGATGATTACACTTCCCATACTGCTAGATGGGTGCATGAACCAGGTCTCTGTCAGTGCTGGGGACCAAGACTTGGGGCAAATCCAAATGAGGATCGGGTTTATGATTTTGTTTAATGAGCTGCTCCATCACCATCCATGCAGCTGCTTGGCTGATACTGGGGAGGAGCGTCTGTGACCGCTCACCTCTCATGTAGATGTGCTCACTGTTCTGCTAGACCCTGTCTCATCCTGTGTGGACGTGAGGACAGAACCTAAGTAGAATAACAGGAGTGCTAGTTGGGAAAAGCGTGGAGGTTACTGCTTACTCCAAACTAGCTGTAGGAGGAGAGCCAACGCCCCTGTTTGCTGATGACTGAAAACCTCAGGTCTGCCACAGCCTCGATAATGGGAATGAGGATGGAGGTACCGCGGTCTGCGGAGACGGACTGCACTGGAGCTGTGAGAGAGTGCAGTGGTTTTGCCTTGAAGGGCCAGGGAAGGTCTTGTTGATACGGAAGTATATGAAGTGGGCTCTGAAGAGTGAGTAAGAGCTTGCCAGGAGGGCAGGCTGCCTGGGCTAGAACTGCCTGAGGAAAAGGCTCAGGCGTGTGGGACATCCACGGAGAGGCCAGGTGTTGAGCTGTCTGACTGCGGTGATGGGTGAAGGTTGACGGTGCAGGGCCGGGGTGGGTGTGGTGATGACGTGCTGTGTTAAGGTGATGATCTGCGGTGACGAGGAACTGAAGTTTTCTCCTGGAAATCAGCGTTTCTCAAACTCGGTGGTAGGCAAAGTGCAGACAGCATTGTAGGCTACAGTTTTAGTGTATTTACTAAGTTTCTTGTCCTATAAACTGACTTGACAGGCAAAGTTTCTGAATAATCAGTTTATCATGGTGCAGCTACACTTACTGAAGAATTATAAGATTTAGTGTTGACGTTCATTTTCATGTAGCCGACCTTGTGCGCCTTCAGAAGTCAATGCCGTGTTTGGATAGTGCTTTATCATGGGTCGTCAAGAGGTGATAAACAGGAAGAAAAGTACTTTTGGGGTTCTGAGACTTCGCAGGATAGAAAAGTGCATTCCTGTAAAAATGTGATTTCTTTGTTTCCTTTGAGCATTTAAAAAAATCCATTATTAAGGAATTAAAACTCACTGTTCTTTGATCTTTTGTAAATATACACCTTTGAAAGCTGAGTATTGGTTTTAAGCTGATTAATTACACTTGATTTTTTTAAAAAAATTTTATTTTAAAAACGATTTCAAATACTGAATTAATTAATGATTTTTTGTGTTTGTTTTGGGTCCGTATTAATAGCTGTATTGATCCATTTTTCAACTTAATGAAGTTAATCAGTCTTTTGTAGTGCTCTTGGTTAGCATTTTATCTTCCCTTATCTATAATTCAATGAGAAGCGTAATTTTTAAAAGAATTGCATTCAGACAAGAGTATTTATGCAAGTTTCAGACAGACGCTTAGTCACAGCCTTCGACTCCAGTGAACAGTATGACTTATAAGGAATGTGAACCATCTTTAAAATGTAAATGCATGGCTGTGTCTGCCAACAAATCAGTTTTTATGGTCCATACGTAGTTGTTAAATATTAGTTATTGAGTGAATAAAAATATTAAGATTAAAAATTGCAGATTTGCAATGGGAACAAAGCATTTTATTGCCCTGTGTGGTATTTTCTGCTTCCTAAATTTCTTTCTGAATTACTGTATTTCTTGGTGTTTCTGTGCTAACTTTGATTTACTTTACCTGCTCCTGTTTGCCTAAGTCTCTCCGCAGGGGCGTCTTGATCGTTTCCCATTTCCCTGAACACACCCTTGTACGTAGTTGGCACCCAGCACTCATTGGCTTGAACTCCCTGTCATTCTGCCTTATTTTAAAACATGTCCTCTTCTTTGAAAATGCCTCGAATGTTCTAATCGTGGTCATCATAACCTCACTGTTTATTCACTGCCTTCAGCTGAGTCGTATATATAAAGCTCCATCTTCCTAAAAGTTTGTGTCCTGGGTACGGTGCCAGTGAAGAGGGAGTGGTTAACTGCATCAGGAAGGCTTCTCAGAGGAGCTGACATTGGACGGGCTGAGCCGCAAGGACCAGGCGGAGGAGGCAAGGTGCAGACGGTCAGGCACCCAGGAGGTGCAGGAGGAGGCCTGCAGTCAGGTCAGGGCACCGAGGCCTCTGGGCAAGGGAGTCCCTGGGTGCAAGTTCCGTGCTGCACAGCTCTTGGACCTGCAGAGTCAGAGGACGGCAGAGGGCTGGGACTTGAGGCTGTGTGTGTATAGGTGGAAATTTCGGTAACCTATCATCTTCTCCCTTGAAGGTCAAATTACTTGTGCTGTATGGTGGACTAAAAGATGAGGCACTGCTTTTATTTCAGGAAAATATTCATCAAAAGACTGTCCCAGTGAAAAAAACTTTTTTTAGTCACCAACACTGGGATTTAAATCACATGAAAATGAATGAGCTGAATCTCAAGGATTCCTGGGAACTAACTTTTAAACGCCTTGTAACATTTTCATTTTTTGTCACTGTATAGTGAGAAAAAGATCACAGCTTGGCCTTCTCGTATTACTCGCCTCTCAGCCATGGTGGTCAAGGTGTGTGTTTGTGCGCATCGAAGTGTTACTTGGCAGTTACTTGATCAGGGTGATAAACCTCGGTGAAGGTCGCTTTGTCCAGCGTGGCTGCCACTTTTAACCCCAGACAAATGTAGGCACATCTTTGTTCAGCACAGCACAGTTCCCCACTGCTGATTGCACTTCATCTTTTAACGGAGTTTTTGAAACTGGCTTGGCACAGTTTTGTTTGCTCTTTTGGATAAGCAGTGCGGTTGGAGAGCTCTTGACTTCTGGATCTGAGGTGGAATCCTGTCTTAGCCAGTTACCAGTTTTGTAACTGTGGAAAAATTCTCTCTCCCTGCCTTAGTTGCTTCATTGTAAATGGTGATAATTATATGTCCTCTTTTATAAAGTTGAGGCATATGCATTAATACATATAAAGCTCTTAGAACAGTGCCTGAAAGCGCCATCTTTTTATTTTTTATTTTTATTTTTTTAATTTAATTTAATTTTATTTGTGGTATTAATAGCAATAGTAGTTTTTTTGTTGTTTTCAATAGATTTCTACAAACTTTTTTTTAAATTGAGGCAGAATTGGCATATAACATTATATTAGTTGCAGATGTACATATAGTGAATTTGATATTCGTACACTACAAGTATAGACCATGGTAAGTCGGCTACCATCATTACCATACAGTTACCCCCACTTCACCCATTTTGTCCACCCATCTATCCTTTCCCCTCTGGTAGTCATTTATTTTTTATTAAGACATGGCCCATCTAAAAGGAATGATATTGATGTGTTCAAACTGCATTTCTTCTTCTCCCCTATTGCAATTAATCTTTTCATTATTTTTTTATTCCTCTTAGCACGTTCAGGGCATAACATATTATCTTCCAGGTGTGGGGATGGGAAAGTGCAGGCAGTTAGCAGGAGGAGAGAGAGCATCCTCCTGGGAGTGTTCAGAAAGTGCCGTCTTTTTAACCAGTCCAGCTTTCAGCAGTTTCTCCCAGATCCCTGTGTACCAGCTGTTACTACTTTCATTACATTCTTCCTAGTTAAACTTCCCTATTTTTTTTTTCTGGTCTTCAAACTGTTTATCTTCAGTGTATAGGATTAGGTTTTAAGAATCACACCAGGAGTGAAGGTGTCATGCAGTTAATGCTCACAGTTTTCTCGCACTAGAGGTACCAAGGTTCAGGATCTCTTCACGGCTCTGCACTGATGAAATCCGTCTTGTACATTAGCATCTCAGTTCGCCCTGTTTGCTAGCTGGGCTGCGGCTACTACAGACTCACTAATTGTGATGCAAATGGCGCGTCCGTTCCCTCCCCCTCGGGGGCAGGAAAGTGGGCCTCAGGCCATTTGCAGCGCTCTTAGATTTCAGGTTCTGAATTTTCTTCAGGCTCTTGCATTTTTCACTGACTTCATACTTAGCCATGAAATGTTCTGTTTTCAACCCCCATCAGTCTTTCTAATTAAAAATATACCTAGTTGCAGATTTTCAATTTACAAAAAATAAACCTGGTCGAAAATACTAAGATCACAAGTTATTTCCACTTAACTACTACTATAGTGCCTTCCAAAATATATTCCTTGGGATATTGTATTTCAGAGTAAAAAAGGATTCTGGTAAAAAAAATATATTGTGAAATTAGTGGGCCAAACGCCATTCAGCAGATGTATTTTCTGTTTTACTTTTTATTGTTTTTCGTGTTCTGGTGTCAAACATGTTTATCCTTGGGGCCTCTGTGCAGCGAGGGTCCTCGGGAAACGCTGGACTGTGCTGTCCTTGTGCATCCCGCCCACTCCGTGCCTCCGTCTCACTCCTTTCCAGCCCAGCCTCGGTCCTGTTACCAGAGCGATGTTTAGCTTTTATTAGTTTCTCTCAGACACCTTCAGAGCTTTCTGTTGCCATCTCACACCTGTCAGTGTCTCTGGGTCTTCTCTGCTCTTGAACGTGTTCTTGCGTTGGCTTGGAATGTCCTGCCTCCTTAACGTCCTCTCTGAAAGGCTTTCCCCGATGCCCCCGGAGATTCACCACAACTTCCTCCCTCCCTCCCCTGCCCTGAGAGCATAGTTCTGTTCAATCCATTGAAATTATTTGTTGGACATCCACTTTCTGTGAGACTTTAAATAGAGGTTGTCAATATAAAGTTGACTGAAGAAGTTGTTTTGGGATTACAGTTAAATTTTTATACGTCTCTTTGTCTTTTTATTTTCTTTCTCTAGTGTTCTTTTGAAGATGACAACATCCGTTCCTTATTAAAGCCTTTAGAACTGGAACTACAAAAGACAGTGCATACGTACTGTGGGAAGAGCTACAAAATATTTATCAAACAGTTAGCAAAAAGCATACAAGACCGTTACACTAGACCACCAAAGGAAAGGTGACTGTTGGTGACTGCTAAAGCAAATGACTTGAAGCAACAAATATCAGAGGGTGTGTGTGAAGGGATAGTCTTGGATGAAGTGTTCAGGAAAGAATTATTCATCTTCAGAATATCTTTTTCTTTTTCCTGAAGAAGTTCAATAGCAATATATTCATGTAATGAAGAATAAGTCAAAGGCTTGGACCCCAACGAGAAGATATTTTTGATGTCTGATGTTTTGTAATGTTATTTGATGTCATTCTAGTATTGATGAAAATATTATTGAATGCTTGTAGCCTACAGACTTTGACTGACCCCGATTCTCCAGTGGGTAAGAGTAGTGGGCGATGTATGGATAGAGAAAGTGTACCTCATCCATAGTGGAAACACTCAAGCTGTGAGTATAGCAATAATTTTATGTCGGCACTAACCTCACTTTAAACGTGTGAGAAAAAAGCTGTTTACAGGAGCAGAAAAGGTTCCGTTTCTAAAGAAATGTGATGTTAACTAATGTAACTATTGACAATCTGTGTGTGCCTTTATACATTTCATCTCTTTTAAAATATTTTTGTGACAATCACGTTTAAAATTATTTTTAGACGATAAAGTAAGCTTCATGTTTAAGACTGAGCTCTATAAGAAAGAGGGAAAACAGTGAAAATTTGGGAGTTTTAAACTGTGCACATTTGTAAAGGGTAGCATTTTCGTTTGTTATCCGCTAAACTGTCTTGCCAGAAGTCAGATCGAAGGCTATAATGCAGATATTGTAGGAAATTTTTTAATCACTTTAAATGAAACTTTTCAGCTTTACTGGGCATTCTGGAAGCAATAAATATGCTGTTAATAAGGTGAGAACCTAAATAGTATATGATGGTGGAAAATGTGACGGACCAAAATGCATGTTATGCTCTCCTGTGAGCAGGATCATGTTACAGCTGCAGTGGGGCGGGAAGAACGTCATCCACTGAAATGCTTTTCCTTCTACCTCAGAATGGCTTTGCAGGATATTTTTGAAGAAGCAGATGTATTGAGATAGAGCCTTACTTAAATAAGTGAGACAACTTTCATGGACGATCTGGCTTTAGAAGATTGTGGTATCTGCCTAGAGAAAAGTAGTTCTGGTTGGGCTAATGTGCATATTGTCCTTTTGTGACCATCACTTAAGACAGTTATTTTTCTTTCAATCTTGAAGGTAGGAAAAATGTTACCTCTCTTAGTGTTTCTGACCGCCCCCTGGTACAGCTAGACTCGGAGTACTTAGCCTGTACTGGGCTGGGGTGCAGGCCTCGTGGTCCCAAGTGCTCTGTGGCTAGCCTCTTTTTCTCTCTTTGGTATTTTAATGCTTTAACAGAGAAGAGAAAATCATGAAGGAAAAATGTCACCTACATGAAAATGGAGGTGCTTTGGCTTTATGAAGACGCGGGGCCCTGTGTGGAGACACGCAGCTGTGCCCTGTCCTTTGCAGCTCAGTCACAGGCAGATTGAGAGAGGAGGGTGTCAGAAAGGCAGATGAGAAGTTGACACCCAGCCCAGCACTCTTGGAACGGATGCATGTAGAGAGCACACTCCGTACGTCCTGGGCACAAAACCAGGGTGGACAGAAGACCTTGTGAACTTGTTGAAATTGAATTTGCTAAATAGAAAATGTGATGCCTAGAATTTTGAAGTTTGGAAGGTATAAGGTCATTTCTAATGGCCCCCAAATGAGACCACTGACTCCTTGTGGGGACCTTGACGAGAGCGGATTCCCGGGCTTCACCTTTGGTGACTGGGGCGCCGCATCTAGGATGGGTCTGCAGACATTCTCCTAAATGAAGAGACTGAGAAATTACACCGAAGTAGAGGGAATAGTGCAGTGATCCTCATCGTCCAGATCAGACACAGAAGTATCTCACCACAGCCGTGCCATTTCTCTCTTTTTTCTTTGCTGAAATACCTTAAGGAAAATCCCAGGCATCGTGGTGTTTCACCTCTGTGAACACCCTGGTAACTGCAGAGACATCCTTCCGCCTTCGGCTTCATTTAAAATCGGTCCTTAGGCAGATTTCCCTTTTGTCTTAAATGTTAGAATCAGAGTACAAACATAAGTCACATTATGATTCTGTTTTTAATAAGCACCTCAGGTGACGTTGATGTCAGTTTGGGCACCACTGGGAACCACTTTGCCAACTTGAAGGTTGAGGGTAGGATGTCACAATTCTTGGCACAGTTGGTGAATTATAAATGTGATTCTAAAACATTAGAGGAAATACTTGGGGTTATTGGCAAGGTATGAGTTTGTATTATTGGTAAGTTCCTTAGATTTAATTTTCTCAGTGAGCAGAGACTCAGCCTCATGGACGCCAGAAGGATTGGGTGGGGCCATGCAGAGTATGGTCATGTTTACCCGGACTGTGTTCTGGGGTCTCATGTGCGCTGTGCCTAATTTACACTGTCACACACTCCGCATCGGGGATCGGTTGGAAGGTTCTTCATCCGGTTTATTCAGACCTGACCTAATTGAGCATTTTACCACAAATTGGGTTATGGCGAAAACTCTCCACTTAGGGACCGTTTTTACGTGAAATTTAGAGTGTCACAGAAAGTCCTTAACAATATTAAAGTAAGTTTTCTGAATTTATCTTTAGATAAGGTAACTTTTTCCTTGAGAATTCTCAAGAAATGTAGTTCTCAGCATTAATGAGGTTAAATTCTAGAACAGCTTAGAGAATGTTTTGTATTTCTTTTCATAAAGCAGTATATCTATGCAGTTTATATGAAGTATCTTATATATTCTTTGAGGCTATGTGTTAGGACAATGCTGACCTCAGAACTCTCTCTGGGCTACAGCGCGACCAAAGTGGAACGACTTTAAAATGCAGGTAGCCTTCACTTGTGCGAAGTAGCCATCTTAGCAGAGCTTGGGAAACCTTTAGAAAATGTCTGGTGATTTACATTTTAAGAAAACACATACTTTTTTTCCCCCTGTGAAGAGTAGTTCATAACGTGTATGGTAACCTAGTTATCTCTGGACAGTTGAGAGCCTGAAACAGTATTACTGCTCACTGACTGCTCTGCCATCTTGCCTCAGATGTCAGATGTTACTGGTATAATGGAAAGAAAACCAGACTGTGAACTCGATCTGAATTCTCTTCTAGGTTAGGGACCCCCGGCATGTACATAACCTGCTCTGTGCCAAAAGTTTGCAGTCCACACGCCCTGGCGACCTCACGAGACTCAGAAGTTGTGAGTCATGACGCTGTGAGACCCAGAAGAGAATGGATCTGAGAGTGTGCTGCAGGTCTGGCTTCAAGCCCCAGCAGCATCACGGTTGAAGTTCTGTTTTGCCCTGCTGTCTCCTGCGCAGGTCTCTCTGTTTCCTTAGGCTGAATGTTTTCTGACAAGCATTACATCTCCAGCATGGATCTGCTTAGATTATGTAGGGAACAATTTTTAAGGAAGAGAAAGAGAATAGAATGATGGAAATGAATGATCAAAGGAAGAAGGGAAAGAGGGGAAGTGAGAAAAGTGAGGATGGAGAAGGGAATAAGTGAGAAAGGCAAAAGGCAGAGGAGAAGAAGAGATGGGATGAGAGGGCAAATGGAGAAGTAGAGGTGGAGAGATGGTCTGGGAGCTGTCACCCCGACCCTGTACCAGTCGGCTCGCCTTCCTCTGTGCCAGTTCAAGAGGCCTTCAGGGTCAGGAGGGGCGCTGGCCTTCATGGAAGGGGCAGCAAGGCTCCCTTTGTTTGACCTGTTGATGCTAGACTCATTACCTGTCACTCTACCCATTGAACATATCGTGTTATGATTCAACATTGTATTTTTTTTTTCAACGGATCCCAATTTGTGAGCTAAGACCTGTGTGGACACAATGACAAATATCTTCCTTTTTAACATCCTTTTAGTCCTCTCAGATGTTGGATTATGCAGGACTGACCACCTGGATTCACAGGGGAGGTTAGGGTGGAGGGGCGGCCGTGTTGGATCTGAAGGGCCGGGAATCTTCTGCAGCACTCTCGCAAATGGTGCTGATAAGGAGTCGGGTTTGGGAATCACCGCCCTGCCTCGAAAGGCAACTTAAATAACCTGCCACGTCTGTTGGTTCCTCAATAGGCGTACTTTCAGTTGGACTGTTACTAATGGAGACCACAGTATTAATGCTAGTATTTTGAGTAGTAATGATTCTCAAGCTGCTGGAAGGCATTTTGGTGTACTGCCAAGAGAACAGGAGACAGCAGGAATACATTAAAGGGGAAAACCTTAAAAGACAGTGTTCAGTGTCTTCCGAAGTTTATATTGTAAGTAATAAACACCTTAGTGTTAATCAGTAGTGATTTAGCAAGCCCACTGATCTGTTGTGTTGTTTTTTTTTTTTTTTAAATAACGTTTTTGATTCCTTAGAGTAAATGCAGAAGGAAAGTAGGGGTGCAATATGCCAGGTGTGGGGCCAGTTACCAGTTTATTAAATGTAATTTCAGGTGTCTTAAAACAATTGCCTTATTGCATTTGAATATTTAATAAAAGTAGATGAAATAATGATCAGTACTGTAACGGTTATCTTTTACCCGTTGCCAAAGCAACCCTTTTGGCCTGTTCAAGTCTGGCTAAACTGTTCTGATGTTTGTCGTTTCTTAATTTGTTGAACATCAAACTAGATTTTAAAATTAAGTTATATTAACTTCAGGCAGGTCGTACTATAATTTTTTTTTAACCAAAAGAAGACTGATGTTAAGTCAAATATCTAGCAATTACAGAATCATAAGAAGAATGTAGAATAGCTTATAATAGACAATTTAAAATTGATTACAAATCAATGTCAGACTTACTTCTAAATGGAAAATATCCTTTGGCACTTCATCTCTACCAATAATTCCAAATGCCTACTGGGATTATTTTTTTTAAGAATTTTCTATAATATATATACTCAGTTTTCAAACAAAAGAAAGCCTTTGAAAAGATAACAGAAAAAAAGAAGGAAGGAAAATTTCTCTCACTTGTAATAATGTGAATGCTGTTTGGCGAGTGTATGGTCAGGCATTTTAACATCAGGCTTAAGAACTGACGTGGAGCCTTTGATGATGTGTAGTTTACATGTAAAGTCTGAATTTGTCAGCATAGTCAAACACAGCATCGAACAACTCCTTGTGAAAGTTGAAGAGAAGCAACAGTGTACATTCCATTTAAAAAGTAAATTGACTTGGACTGTGATGGGAAATAGCTGTTTTCAACCTGTGTATAAAATCTCTTCAGGGAATCTCAGAGTGTTACACAGAAATAATGCGGGGCTTGCAGTACAGCCGGAGAGCGCGTGATCCGTTCAGAACTTAGCCCCGCACACGTGCATCCCGTGCGCTGTCATCAGTATGAAAGAGCTGGGCCGGTAGTTTTTGATGATGTTGCAACAGAAGATCCATGAAGGAGATGGTGTTTGCACCTGTTCCTGAAGTCAGAAACTGGAAGGTGTTTCCATTTTTCACGAACAGTTTGCATAAGTATGTTAATTTTTTGAGTAGCAGTGATTCTCAAGCTGCAGGAAGGCATTCTGGTGTACTGTGATACCCAGTGATTGCTGCTCTTAAACTGCTTTTTACCTTAAAGTACAATGGTTTTAGGGGAATTTGCTTATCTTCTTCCAAGTGTTTTGTGCATCCTGACGTTTATTAAAGGGGGAGTATAAGATTGTAGATTCGGGTGTAACCTGAGAATTACGGAAAGTTGCTGTGTTCTGTTTTGGAGGGAGTTCACCTTGTCTTTTTCTTCAGAAACTTTGTGTTGTTACTAAATAAACATCTATTCAATAAATGTCTAATTTCTTCCAATGACGTGTCTGAATGACTCTAGCAGTCAAGAGCAATTTTGGAATCTTTAGGCTTGGGGTGCTTGATTACTCAAAGTCTGGGCAGAGTGCCGTTCCTGGATTGGCGAATTCAGCAACTGAACAGCGTCATCAGAAACTTGGGTACCTCTGTCTTTCCATCACCGTTCTCAACACGCGAGCTAGGTCTCCCCACATGGCCCCCAAATGGCAGCCCGCGTTCTGGGGCTCAAATGACAACCAGATGCAAAAATATGTCTTTTTTTTTTTAATATATAATAGGAAACTGCCACCTGTCCCCATTCACTTGCCCTCATAGCCCTAGTGTCTGTGTCTAAAATAATTACTCTGCAAAGGGAATCAAACTTTAATGATTGGCTCAGACCATGAAGATTTGCCCTGAATTTAAGCACAGCCTCCCTTGGAGAATGACAGCTCAGAGGGAAGGAAGCAACATCAGGCTTGTTTTAGAAATCTGGGGGCGGCGGGGGGCAGGCGGCTTGGAAGATAGCTGTCAGGGGGGCAACAGACCATGTGTTATTTTACTGGCCCAAGTATTTCTTACAGTTTCCTGGAAGATCAAGTTTCACATCTGGAGGAAGATCAAGTTTCACATCTGGAGGAAGATCACCTTTTCTGTGCCAGGGTGTAGTTGTGCTTTAAAGGGTCTCTGTAATGTTACGATCTATCGGTTCTCAACTTTACATGTTTTATTCTTCGTACAAAAAGTTTTCTGGTCACAATCATAACGTAAAGGGTTTTGGAAGATTATTGAGGTGACACCTACTTCCAAGAAGAGTTTGAAAGGTCTTTTAAATTCACGATGAAAAATGTATTGATTAGCAATCTGTCACGTTTTCTATTTAATCATTTATGAGTTACAAAATGTCCTCATTGAAAAAAACTCAGACGGTACAGAAGAATTAAAAGTATATGAAGTGAAAAAAATCAAAGAATCTATCCATCCACCCCTAAAAACGTTTGGTGTGTATCCTCCCTGTCCTGCTGTGCACGTGTAGGCAAGACACAATCCCCACAGGCTCGGTTCTGAAATGGTCCCACTTTCTACAACTTGCCTTTTTCACCCAGTAGATATCTTTCCTTGTCGATATATTAGATCCACCTCGGTTTTTAGCTGCATGTTATTTCATGGCAGTGTCCTTAAGTGGAAATTAGCACTTGGATTTCTGAAATATAAAACTGTAAGTAATGAGTTTTTAACTTATTAGGGGAAATAGTAATTAACTACTTTTCCCATTTTTCTAGTTGTGATTTAATTTAAGGTACATTAAATTGTGAATGAACTATAGACCTCGAAAATCAAAGCAAATGTCATATTGTTAAAAAATTTTAATTAAATGGAAAGTTTTTGTACAGTTTACTCAGTACATACTAGTAAATAACAATAGTTATATTTTTGTGAGACTGGCATGTCTGAATATTGTCACTTCAGGATTGCTCTTCTATATTTACACTTTTCTTTCTTAAAAATACATTTTGAGTAGTAAAGTTTTAAAAAATTTATTTGTGGAAATCAACAGAATTTGGCCATCAGTTTTACCTGTGCTTTACCCACTGTTCTTTAGCATTTAAAATATTTTAATAGGGCCATTTAACTGGTTAAAAGAGCTTTTTAATCTATTAGAACAGTGCTGTCTAACAAAAATGTAATGGGAGCACATACTTAGTTTTAAGTTTTCTAGTAGCCATATTAAAAGCAGTAAAAAAACACTTGTAGTTCATTCTAATATGTTTTACTTAATTCAATATCGCCAATATATCATCTGTACACGTAGTCAAGATAAAATGTTAGTGAGATCACTTTTTTTTTCATACTGTACTAAGCATGTATTTTTCACAGACAGCACATCTCAATTCAGAGTTGCCACATTTCACATGTTCAGTGGCCGCTTGTGGCTAACATGCGGGACAGCACAGCAGGGGAGCAAGGTCTCCATGGGTGTTAAAGAATAGGACTTGGTTATAGGAATTGGACCTCAGCCAACTGGGGGGAACTGGAGAAGTGAAAGTCCTGAGGGGAAGTTGGAGGATCAAGGAAGAGCCACTAACCACCCTCCTGAAGCACCGCTGAGGGGGATCTGAGGAGCCCCACCCCGTCCCACCACTGCAGAGGCTCCTGCCGAGGTCTCCGGGAAGCTGCCTCCGTGCGGTGAGGGCCGGGAGAGGGGTCCACGGTGGCAGCTGCAGAAGAGCTGGATGTGGACTGAGAAGAGCTAGGCAAGCTGGAAGCCACCAGGGAAGTCCAGGTCTGTCTGGCAGTATATCCGACTGGGAATTCCTTCAGAGACCGAGGCTGCCCAGACTCCAGCCCAGAGCCAGACAGCTAAGGGGGTTCTGAGAAACACCGTTCTCAGGTTAACAAAATTGACGATAGCGTGTATCTCTGTATGTGTGTGTGTGTGTGTAAATTCATACTCTATGTGAATGAAAAATACTGCAAGCCACGTCCGTAAACAAAGACTGCTGTGGCCATCAAGTCCTCAGCCAACTCATGATGCAGATAAGCAGGCACCTGGCCTCTGCAGCCACTCCCAGTGATGCCCCCCGCAGGACATGAAAGTACAGGACACTGGCCCTAGACAGCTGGATGCATGTCAAAGGACGCATTTCAATGAGCCCAGACATTGCACCATCCCACACATACAACAGCACCAAATTATTTAACTTGAGATGTCTGGTTTTCTTTAGTTAACAGTAATCTTTTAATGTTCCAACTACCTGGGCCTTGTAATAAAACTCCTATATATCCTGGCTCCTCCCATACCTTTTGGGAGCAGTCCCTCCGAGAGATCTGGGAGGCTGTCATCCTGGGCTTGAAGAGGTTCGAGTCCTCAGAAATGTCCACCGAATAAAACATAACTCTTAACTTTTAGGTTGTGCGTTTTATTTCAGTCGAAACCTGCAAGGTGTTCTGTCATCTTTTTTTCTCTCTTCAGTCATTGTAAACACCATTGTTTATATAGATCTTTAGCATAACTTTAATGGCTGCTTAGTCTCCTGTCATTTAGAGGATTTACTTGATCTGTTTGTTAATCTTCTCAATTGTTTAACACAAAATTCAGGCTGGGGTGGTTCTGGTGATGCACTGAAGCAGTGAGTTAGTCAGGTGAAGGACACCAGGACATTCCACAACAGAGTGGCAGTTGTTAACTTGGAATATTCCATTATTCCAAAACTTTCAGTAATTTCTCATCAAAATTGACTAAATTGACTACACTTTCTCTAATTCAATATTATGAAATTAAGAGGGAAGATCATTTCTCTGAGGATGGAGTGATGGCCACATGACCTCAGCTCAGAGGCATGGTGAACTTACATGTGTCATTGTCATCAAATGCGGCAGCATGTGGACACGAGGAGCCCAGAGCAGAAGAGACTAAGGACCCTGCTCCTGGGTGTCCATGAGACGTGCCCCCACACCCCCCTCCCCCCGCTTGGGGACTGCTCAGATACAGCTAAAGGACGCTTAGGAGGGATTAATCTCCAAACCATAAGGCCAGGTGGAGGGGGTTGAGGGAAGGTGCCTGGGTAATTCAGGTTATGACTGAGGGTATCACCGTGCATTTTATATAACAATGTTCAGTTGCATTTTTATGTTCGATGTGAGCAATTAGAAAACCTGGTTCATGCTTCAGCCATCTTTGTATCTCTAGTGCCTAGGGAGAACACTGACGGCATATTCAACCTGGGTAACCAGGAACGGTCAGTGCAGAAACAAGTCACAAGAGTGTGATCAGGGTTTAGGGAGACAGCATCGGATGCTGGAATATCCAGGGCTCGTAACGCTGGGGAACTGTTACCACTTCTAAGCTTAAAGGAGCAGAGCAGGGAGGTGGAGGTTGCCAGAACCCAGGAGAGCATCTCCCTCTGGAAAAGTCCAACTGAAGACTACAGGACACAGAGCCCACAGGCAGAGTCCTTAAAGTGAGCCTCCCAGAGATCAAACTGAGCGAGGAAGGTGGTGGAGGTCGAACTGGAGGGGCAAGAGGAAGATACTTGGCACAAGGCGTCATTAAACAGGTGTTTTTGAGAAGATAAGCCCTGAGCTAGCCATTGTGTGTGTTTATATTTGTTATGAATTTTAGGTAACTTCTCATTTTGATAAATTTCAAACTAGAAAGTTACAAGAAGACCACAAGAAACCCCTTTATACCCTTAATTCTTCTGCTTTTTGCCTCACTTGCTTTATCATTCTCTCTCTTTTTTTTCTCTCTTTCATTCTGAAGATTTTTCCTCAACCATATGAGAGTAAGCTGGGCACATTATGCCTGCTTTACCCTAAATACTTCAGTGTGCACTTCCTAGGCATAAGGACATTCTCTTACATAACCATGGTGCAATTATTTAAATTAAAAAAATTTAACTATGATACAGTTCTGTTGTTTTAAACACAGCTCATACTCAAATTTTATCAATTGTCCCAATAATGTCCTTTATAGCTTTATTTTTCTTCCTGGCTCAAGATCTAATCTCTGCTCATACATCGTGTTAAATTGTCATGTCTCTTGCTTTTTTGTTTTTCAGGGGAGGAGGTAACTAGGTTTATTTATTGATTTAATGGCGATACCAGGGATTGAACCCAGGACCACGTGCATGCTAGGCACCTGCTCTACCACTTGAGTTATACCCTCCCCCTCATGTCTCTTCAGTCTCCTTTAATCTGGAACATTTCCTCAACTTCTCTTAGTTTTTTTTAATCTGAATTTTTTTTTTACTATTACTATTATATTTAGGTTAAATCTATCTATACCTTTGATTTCATGTTATCATAAATTAAATTATTAAGATGTCAGTTGATGAGCCAAACATAAAATGTCTTTGAAGTATTCTCAGTCCTATTTGGATATTACTTATGATGTAACCATGTTTATTGTAATTTAAAGACTAGTAAAATTTATTTATAGAAGGAAAAATATCAACAAAAATATAATTTCATTCAGAGCATTTTGAGACCCCTCCTTTTGCTCCCAAGTCCCAAAC